CTGGACAGTCGCACAGCAGGCCTGAGGCCGTGCCCCTCGGGCAGCAGGAGTCTTCTGAACAAAACCAGCTACACAACATGTGTCGTCACGGGAAAGGGTTCCCCGGAATGGCCGCTGGCTGCCGCCCACAGCTGCTGTGAACCTGAGGTTCTCTTAGCGGAGTTACGGCAACACAGCACCAAACCAACCTGCACCTTGTTTTTTATTGAATCTTGAGAAAATTCCAAATCATACATGAATTTTATTTCTTTAGCTCTGGTCATTAATCAACTACTGCCACTGTCGTGAAAACCTGAATCTCTGGCCTTTGAGCCGAATCCAAGATTCTACGGCCCCAGACGGGACTCCTGCAGCGACTCCTGTCCTTCACGTGCCGGAGCAGAGGGAGCGCCTTTGTGCTCTGGGACCCTTTCCCCAAGTCCTGCTCATTCTACCAGCTCACAATGTCGGTCAGACGCCCCGTCCGAGAGGCAGAGTCCCCACCGCCCCCCACGCCCTTCCTCCCGTCTCACCTCAGGAAGTCTGAGGAGCGAAACAGACACCGACATCTGTGGAACGTGAAGCACGTGTTGAAATGTGAAGCTGAGCATCCCCTCGGGCCCAGGGCGCCCCTCTGCTGTGACACCGGAGCGGAAGGGGCCGGCCCGGGCCGCAGGTCTAGGCACCTGAGACGGCCTCCCTCCTCCCTGCCCTGCCCCCCAGCAGGCCGAGTCTCCTCCAAAGTCAGGGCCGTGTGTTCAATTCATGTCTCTGGTTTCATCTTTCCCTCGGTCCAGACTGGCTTCCAAGGGTAAGAGAAGCCAAGCGAGTCTGCGGCTGCGAAGGGTCACGCTGGGGTTCACACCCTTTCCCTGCGGCGACTCCGATGTTCCAGCTGGGCCACCCGCCAGGCCCTCCAACCGGAACGCTGACCAGTCGGCTCCACTTTGCTGAGGACAAGCACAGCCCACGGGGCCACCGTCACGGCTGCGCCCTCTGCCCTCTGGCACCTGCAGGGCGTGCTGATGGGCCTCGCCCGCTTCAGTTCCAGCTCTGACAAGCAAATCCTGGGGGCGTGGGGAGGGGACACAGGAAGAGGCAGCCTAACGCCCAGGGATCTAAATTCCTGGGGAGCCCTGGTCGGGCGCCTAGTGATTCTCCTCGGCCTCTCTGTCGGGCAGCGGGCAGCGCCATCGTCATGGAAACATGGCCGTTTCTGCATCTGGAGTCGTCTGGCCCCACAGGTGAAGCAAGAGACCCTGCGATGCCCTCGGCCCCCGGCTTCCAGCCATCAGGAAAAGGAGCTCCGGAGCCAGGATCTCAGGCCAGGCAGCTCTCTCACTGCAGATCCCCAGGGCCCCTGGGGGCCGGGCCCTGCCGGGGCGGGTCCTGAACCTTGTCTTCATCCCCCAGGTCCACTGCCCATGGACGCACCAGCCTCGTCACCCCATCTGTTCCGCTCTCCTTTGTTTGATTTAATCCGATTGTGAGTCTTCCTGAAACTAGAAAAGCATCAATAATCGAACACGAGCTTATTAACTGGGACGGAGTCCTGGGCCGAGCGTGTGCACAGGGTGCGGAGGTGTTTGCCCAGGAGACAGGAGGGCGAGCTCAGTGGGTTGGTTCTCTCTGGTGTGTGCACGTGCGCACACGTCAGGTTTGCTTCTGGCTAAGTGTGAATATCTAAGTTGGACGTTGCCAACCCAGTTCTGTCCCCCTGAAGTCAGAACAGCATCCCTCCCCGGGGCCCCAGGCAGCGTGTCCGAGCCCCGCAGACCAGTGAGAACGAGGGCGGGTCCACAGCTCCTGGAACTCAGGACAGTGGGCGCAGCACTTGGTGTGGTCCTTGCACCGCTCAGGAGCCCCAAAGGCTGTGGTTACTTGGACACGTCTCTCTCCCCCAGCTGGACTCCGGCCGTAGCTGACACTGCAGTGCCCACCGGGAACCGATGTCGTCTGAAGAGGTGTGGACGCCGGGCTGCCCACCTAACTGGAGCGGCAGTGCGCACACTTCAGGGAAATTCCTATGCAGCCTACGTTTGGTCCTCAGTGACGTTATCAATAAGCTGGCAGACTGGACATGACTTTTCCACAAGGAAAACTAAGTTCAGAAAGGTCCAGCTCAGAGGGAGGGGTCAAAACCAGCTCCTCTCTTCATACCAGGGTGTACCCCCCACAGAATGGTATTTCATGCTCTCGTTCCTCTCCCGGGACAGGGGAAGAACTCGAACCCTCTGCTTGTGCAGATGGACCGGGCCACACACAGGGTCAGAACGGAGCCGGAGCCAACAGCTGAGGCCTGCCCTTCACTCAGACCCGTCGGATGTGAGAACAGATGCAGACATCGGCTGCCCAGGGACACAGCCGCGGGCACTGCGCTGCCCACCCACAGGACGAGGTGGGGACCTCACAGCAGGACAAACGTGACCCTAGTCTGTGTCCATCTCAGCCCATCGGGTCTGTTTCTTGGTTACTCCACTCGGTCAGGAGTCCAGCGAGGGAACATCTACTGTCACCCGAGCACCTGGCTACAGAAGACGTGTCCCCAGGCATCGCCCAGCTGAGCCGACGACCAGCTACAGAAGAGAGTGAGCTGTGGATCGAGGCTGAATGTTATGCTAAAACAAATTTTTAAGAGAATTCCACAAATATCTACTGAATATATTTTTAAAATGTGAATTTTTATATTATACACCAAGCATATTCTTGGACAAACTTTTATATCGTCAAAATATAAACTGACTCTACTTAATGTTGTGACTTTCACTACAAAAGGCATGTAATTTAAACACTCAGAATTGATCTCATACATGTTACTTTAATAACCATGACATCAGCAACTGTTTCAAAAAGATAACACAGGTGTACAGGGAACAAAACGACCTCCTGTCATGTCTTCACACGGGTCACTCAGCCCCACAGTCAGGCAGTGTCAGGACCTCCTCACCAGGGAATGGGGCTCAGTGAGCCGGCCCGCCCCCACATACCCAGCCCCCCATGGTCACACCCGTTGTTCCTTCCTGGGAACTTGACTCGAGATGCAGTCAACTCCCCTAAAGCCACACGCCACTGTGATGTCCAGAAACGCAGTCAGGGTCCGGTGCAATCTCAGGCGCTGGCTTCACATGGGATGCTATTTCTGTCACTTCTAATGTTCAACACTCAAGTTTCACATGTCAAGAAGAGAATGGAAAAAACTTCAGGTGGAAAGCTCCAATTTACCTACAAGAATCTATCAAATCACTTCTAAAATTAATGTTAAAATTCAGTAGATGCTTTCTCTGCTACAAGTTTACAATGGTCTATAAAACATGATTTGATTCAAATCTATCAGTGTGAGCCTCTAAGCTGCTGAACACAAGCGTTCACGCAAACACTTTTTCCTTTGAAACGTGAAGAACATGTTTCACTCAGGGGAAAACATCTCACTAAAATTAGGGCAACAAGCCCTGACCAGTGTACATGCACTGAGAGGTCTGGCTCCTTCCGGTCAGGGCATGCCCCCGGGTTGCAGGCTCAATCCCTAGGAGGGGGCGTAGGTGAGGCAGCTGATCAGTTTCTCTCTCCCTCCCTCTCTCTAAAAGCAATGAGTGTATTTTATTTTTAAAAACTAAGACAATTATTCACAAACTATTTTATCAAATTTAAACCAAGAGCCCCACTCGGCTGTCCTCCCACTTTGGTTTCAGACATCCACCTGCTCCAACACAATCGATAGCACTGTTCCCAGGTGCCCAAACTACTTAGGAAGGAATATCCTCCTCCATCTGTGTGTCATGATGGACTTTCTCCTGGGCTTGTGCGTCCTGACTCCATTCTGAGGGTGGACTCAGCCTCCCCGTGGGGCCAGGGCTCAGGGGCTCTTCTGTGTAACTCGTAAGGGAGAAGCCAAGGGGCCCTGCTCCGCTGCCCCGGACAGAGCCTGTTCTATGGGCCCGGCCTCCCGGGATGGCCCACGATGCTGAGACGTAACATACTCTGCCCAGACCTCGCTTCTAGGGTCCCTTCAAGTTCCCCTCGGTTTCCCCATCTCGGCACTGCTGTCGTTGTGGGTCAGATCATCTCGGCTGTCTGAGCACACAGGGTGCTCAGCAGTGTCCCGCCCCCCACCCCTCCAGTGACCACCCACCACGTCCCACACCCTGGGGCCACACCGAGCTGGCAGAGGACCGCGGGCAGAGGGGAAGCCGTGAGGCAGTGACAGTGCCCACGTGTGGACGGCAGCGTGTCACTTAGTTTACTGTTTTCACATCAGCGGTACGTTTTGTAATCAGTACTAAGCACAGACACGTGGGAACTACTGAGCTCAGCACATTGGTTTAGTTTAACTGCAGACCCCACAGTGCAGGGCATAGGCCCGTGACTGTTCCAGCACCCGCGCCAGGGTGTGCTCCACAGCGCGACGGCTGTGTGCTGGTTCTGTGATTTCAGATCCATTAATTTACAACGTGGTGACGAGGTGGTTCTGAGGGGGGGCCTGCTGCTGAGCGCCCAGCTCAGCTGTGGACTTACACCCACAAGAGCGCGTGGAGGAGCGGCTAAGCGTATGGACACCTCCTTTTGTCCAGGGGCTCGTGAGGACTCCCCGAGGGTCTGGTCTGGGCAAGGCCCTGGCCCTCGCTCCGGCTGTGGCTGCCCTGCGGTGAAGCGGGTGGCAGCCTGTGCAGGCCGCCTGGACCGCCACCAGCATCGCGCTGCAGCCACGGCGGGCGCCAGCCCTCGGGCTAAGGGACTCTTCCGAGAACCAGCTCCGGGAAGGTCCCCCAGCGACACAGGGCTTTGTTCCCAGCAACCGCGTGACTCGCCTGCCCCCGGCTCAGCGCAGGCCGCTCCGCGACTGCAGACCAGGGGACTCACCCTGGACGCTCTGGCTGGTGAGGTGCTGTTATCACTGTGACTCCCGGAGCAACCCCACGCCAGAGAAAAGGTGGGAGAGACGACCTGAGTCTGAGCGTAACTAGCCACAGACGAAACAGTGTCACAGCAAAAACCATCTTTACAATGGGGTCAGTTCTGGGACAGGCCTGCAGCGCCGGCACCTCAGCTGACGCGGTGCAGGGAGCTCCCGGAAAGGCAGCGGCAGCCGTCATTCTTCCTTCCCCCTCCTCCTGGCTCGCGCTTGCTCCTGCAAGCTCTTGAGGTCGGCCATCGCGGTCAGTGCCCTCCGCACCCACAGCACCTGCAACGAGCGTTGTGAGTTTACACGGGAGCCGCGGTGGGAGAACACGAGGACTCGTTGTCTACGGTACGTACCACGATGATCATGGCGTTGAGGAGCAACGGTGCCGAAAACACGAGTGAGATGAACATCCCTCTCGAATCAAAATACTGGTATTTTGAAAATGACCTGTTTTAAGACAAATTTTAAAAAATCACTAGGTATAACAAAACAATGTTTTTAATGACATTCTCTATTTAGCGTAAGGCTACTGGAGAGGTCTGATGTCAACAGAGGCAGAACCCGCCACCCACGACCACACTGGCCCTCGGGGCCTGCCCGGTCCAGACCGATGCCCCAGTGAGCAAGTAGGGCGCCCGCAGGGTGACAGGAAGCACAGGCCTTAACCGGAGGGTCTGACAAGCAAGGCGACTTACACCCGCCTGTGTGGTCAGCAAACCTGACACCAGCCCTGCCGCACTCCCTGCGGGTCCTGGCCTGTGCCAGCCTCACCCCCGTGGGGGATGACAGCCCTGCTGCCCTCTCACAGCCTCGGGGCCACTGTTGGCCACAGACCCAGATGGGGTGCTCGGGGGGGGTGTGCTCAGGAGATGGGGTGCTCAGGAGAAGAGTGTGCGCTCAGGAGACGGGGTGTGCTCAGGAGACGGGGTGTGCTCAGGAGATGGGGTGCTCAGGAGAAGGGTGTGTGCTCAGATGGGGCGCTCAGGAAATGGGAGGAGCGCTCAGAAGATGGGGGGCGCTCAGATGGGCACGCACTCAGATGGGGGGCGCTCAGGAGATGGGCGCACACTCAGGAGATGGGGTGCTCGTGTATAGTTTTCCTCTTTATATTAAAAAACTTCTAACAATCTTACATTTAAAACAAAAACCACGTTCTGCTCAGGCCATGTAAATGGCGGGAGCCCAGCTCTGGCCGAAAGCTGCAGCCTGCAGCCCGTCTGGGGAAACAGGCTGCGTTTTCTGACCGGAATGTGGAGGGACCTGAAAAGCCTCATGGGAGGAGGGGCTCCTGAGGGAGGGCGGAGGGCGGGGCTGAGGCCCAGACACTGGGCAGGTGGTCCCTGGAGGGCAGGAGGGCTCAGCTACCTCCACTGGACCACACACCCACCCAGCTCTACCCACCACTCCCTTTCTCTGCGCTGACATCACTTTGAACAGCCCAACCCCCCCCTCAAGGTCGTGAACAGCATCACCCAGTGTGCAGCTGGCACTGCTCAGCAAGAAACACGTAAGGCTCTGTTTCCCAGCCTACACCGCCCGAGAGAAGCTGCTGTTTCTCCTCTGGGCTCGTGTTTTGCAGGCAGAGTGCTCTCCTAAAACGCAGAGGCAGGACAGCGACGGCTCACCTCCAGTTCATGGCGGCCACTTCATTGATGTACTCGGCACAATACACTAACGTTACTGCAAAAGAAACCACGGTAGAACTCAGGGGCTGATTATTGATCATGGCGGAAACAGTCTATACAGACGAGTCTTTAATGAGTCTTTAATGCAGACATAACAGGATAGCAAAAGTTGGAAGAGAAATATAATTTCCACTTTAGATATGAGATAAAAATTATAAAACTGTGTAACTACAAGACCCACCCATTTAACAGGAGGGAAACAAGGTCAGCACTGGGTGCAGTCTCCACGGTCTCCGTGAGACCACACAAAGCTGTTCAGACACACACAGTCAAGAAAACCCAGGTCTTCTGCCCGAAACCAGGAATTCACCACACTGGCTATTTTGCCTAATTTCCTACATGCCCTGTCGCAGGTCAGGCCTATGTGACACTAGGCAGCAGGGTCAAGATCCGTGAAGCCTGGCCCTTACAACCACCCACTTCTCAACCTCATGATTCTAATGGGGCACCCCTGTGAGCACAGGGCTCTGGGGGCAAAGTCAGGGCAGCAGGAGCCCCACAGCTGCAGGGACGGGGGCTGTGTCGTGCTCACAGGGCAGCTGGATGGGGACGCAGTGCTGCAGGAGCACCGAGGCAAAGGGGTGCCACCACCCAACCAGGGGCACGGGCCTCAGGCAGCTCAGCCGCCACAGCTGACCACTGACCTGCCTAAAAAGGAGAGTTGAGGAAGGCCCAGCTCAGGGGGACCCTGCCCAGCTGATATCGAGTGACAGGTGGCCATGTCCTTAGGGCCTGGGAATCGTTGGCCTCTGTGCTCCATTCACAGCATGAAATTGGCCCTAATACGCAAACCTGACACTGGTTTGAGAGCTACAGTCATAAGACTGTAACTGCACGCACATCGGCATCCTTCCCAGGGTGAGCACCACCCCCTCTTCACCCTAGAACACGACAAACCGCTTGGAGCCCCCAGGTCTGCAGAACTGTGTCAAGTACGTCAGCCTACATACTCAGGCCACCGACCCCCTGCCTCCCGCCTACCGCAAGCCACCTGGGTACAGGCATCGCCACACAGACAGGAGCCAGCCCCTCCGTGTTTCCTGTGCCCGCCTTCTCCCTGGTCACGCTTCCCAGAGTTGGCACAAGGCCTGTGAGGACGGAACGCTGGTGCCTCGAGCCGAGGAGGCCAAGGAGTAGGTCTCCTGGTTGGGCCTGTCCCAGCTTCCTCAGACCCTCACTGCACTCGCCAGTTTGTACAGAACCATAGTCTCTGTCACCAGACTCGGCACTGCCCACGGCCCCCAGAGCACCCTTGTTCACACTTCCCACCTGCACCAGGCCAGCTGACGGGTCTGAGACTAGGTGTTGCGTTCGCTCAACTACAAGCAAAATCTCCAGTGTCTACCTGGTGCCACAGAGCTGAGCCTCTGCCCACCCATCCTCCCCACCCGGCATGTTGCTAGGGGCTCAGCATCACAACCGCCAGGCGGCGTTTCTCTGACACCTGATCCCCCTGACTTGGCAACACGTTATTTCACATACATATGTGTCCGTCCTGGTTTGCAGTCTCCCTTCCAGATCGGGCATCACAGTGCTAAGCCCACAGAGAAAAACTCTCATGTAAGGAGCCGGGTTCCACTGAATCCAACTCACCTGGTGTAACTGATACTGACCCCCTCCCGGTAAGGCGGGGCTCAGTAGATGCCTTTCAAACCCAATACCCACAGATGACTTTACCCCTGTAACTCCCAGACCCGGGTGTGCCCTGAGGCTCAGAGCGCGGGAGACCAAAGGGCTGGGTCCCCGGACACAGTGCGCACGGAAAACACGCAGGGCCGAATCTCGCAGAAGCTGCTTGTCCCACTCACCGAGGCACAGGAAGTGGCCGACCTGCAGCTCATAGTGCCGGGACGAGAGGCAGGTGAGCAGCAGGCAGAGCACGTGGAAGACGGCCAGGCCTTGCAGCCAGGGCTCCGTCCAGTCTGTCTGCTGTGGGACAACATCGGACACTGGTCAACGTCCACGCCCGCGGGGCTGGGCCTCCTGTCTCCAGGGCGGGGGCTCAGTGGCCCGTCGCTCTCCAGTACTTACTTCTGGGCCTACTGAGCAAGGGTCCCCAGGGGAGAGGGAAGGGAGGAGGGACCAGGAACCCGCCCGGCACCCCCGCCGGGGTCTCAGGCCGGAGCACAGGCTGACAGCGTCGGACCCGCCGTGGGCTCGCGGAGCAGTCACGGGCCACGGGCGAGGCGGACCTAGGGGGCTGGCGCAGGCGCCGCACTCGCTCACGCCCGCTTGAAACTCGGGGGTCAAGTTCTCGCACCGCACGCGGGCCCCGGCAGTCCAGTCGTGCACCTGCCGAGGCCTCCCCACTTCGGGTGGGCAAGTCCACCTCGCCCCACAGCGCTCGGGTCCACGCCCGGCCTGACCAGCTCGCTCTGGACCAGCCCGCGGGCCCCGCCCCGCCGGCCCCGCCCCGCCCCGCCGGCCCCGCCGGCCCACGCACGGCGGACGCTCCGCGTCCTGGACAGAAAAGCGGGCCACGAGCTGTCCGCCAACTCGAGGGCGGCCAGGGCGAGGGGCTCGGTGGGGCGCAGGACATCACACTTCCAGGGGCAGGGACACGGGAAAGCACCCCTAATGCGCCCACCGCCGGGCCACACCCCGGCCCCGCCCCACCGCCCCGCCCCTCCGCCAGGCCCCGCCCTCAGAAGCCGCGCCCGCCCCGGGCCCGCCCCACCACCCAGGCCGCCCTCGCCCTCCAGGCCCCGCCCCGCAACCCAAGCCCCGCCCACCGCCCAACCCCTCGCCCCGCCCCCATCAGGCCCCGCCCTCAGGAGCCGCGCCCGCCCCCGGAAGCTCCGCCATCACCGCCCAGGGCCCCCCCCCCTCAGGTTCCGCTCCCAACCCCCCGGCCAGGACCGCAGCGTCCCTGGCGGGCGAAGGGAGGCCGTGAGCGGCCCCAACCGCCAGCACCGAGCTGGCCGCCAACTTACGGTGATGACGGCGGGAATGCTGTCGGGGAAGGAGGTGGCTGAGAAGGCGGACGGCATCGTGCCCGGGAAGCCCGCCCGATCCCGGCAGACGCGCCTCCGGCGTCGCCTCTCGCGGGATCCCGTGTATCGCGAGACCTGCGCGCTGGGAGCGGGCGTGCGTACTCTGCGCGTGCGCACGAGCGCACCTCTCGCGAGCTTCGTGGCGGTGGGGAGGACCGGGACGGGGCCGGGCGGGAGGGCGTCTGCGTCCGCCTGGCTCCTCCCGCGGGCCGGCGGGGCGCCGTCCGGTCCTCGGCCGCCGAGCTGGGCGTGAAGCCCGGGGCAGGTCCGGAGAGGCGGCGGGAGCCGCGCGCGCTGCTGGAACTTCCGTGGGGAAGGGGAAGCGGGCGGCCGCCCCGGGCCCGCCGCCCCCTGCAGCCCGGACGCAGAGGCCGCCGGTCCGCGGTGCGCACGTGGCCGGCGCCCCTGCTCGGGCCGCCCGCTGTCGAGCAGCCTCGTCCGCGGCTCTGCCCCCCGGCCGCCGCCGCCCCTGTGCCGTCGGGGTCCGCCTTCGACCCCGCTTTTCCCCTTTGCCCCCGGTCCGGCCCCAGTGCCCCCTCCACCGGGCGGGGAGGGCCGGAAATACCCCAGACGGCCCCGCACGGGAAGGCTCCTGTGCTCAGCACGGAGCCGACATCCTTGTTCTCTGGGAGGTGACACTGCCTCCTGCAGGAGCCGTCGGCTCGTCCCCAGCCCGGGGCCAGGTGCTCGGGACCGGTGCCCCGGGGCCGGTGCTCAGACAGGTGCTCGGGGCAGGTGAAGGCGGGTCCGGGCGGCGTCTGGACTCTCGGCGCAGCCGCAGTTTGACGGAAGCCCCAGCAGGGGGCGGCGCAGGGCCTGTTGTGGGGACGGGTCTTCCCCGTGAGGTCTGCCGTCCAGGGAGTTTCCTTACGGTCTCACCTAGTGACCTGAGGTTTTTGTCAACGCCATTTAGTTCTAGGTGAGAAACAGATGTTTTCTGAGCCCCGTGGGATAGCTGAATGTGCTATTTTCGAGTTCTTTGTTAGACTGCCTTTAGAAAATTGGTTATTTCAAAATGTGCTGGTGAAAGATCCACAATATTGGGTAATAAAAGCTGTACCGATAAAAATCCAACAAATTTAATATGCATCTTCACCTCATTTTTTTCAATATTCTATCAGTGCCCACCTCGGTGCTCACAGAAGTTTGTGCTGATTTGGTTGATCTGTGATTCCACCTCTGATCTGAGCCTCTCCAGGGCGTTAGTCCCGTTTTATCTACTTTACACTCGCAGCACGTCGGAGAGCAGGTGTCTGGAGACCTCGTGATGTGAGTGAACTAACGGATCTGTCCTGACAGCTCAGTCAGTAATAACGAAAATATTCTGGGGCCCTGCTTTGTAGAGACCCTTAGAACCACTCGATCAAAGGCGGGTCCGTCAGAACGTGGTGTTCCCAGACAAAGCCCTCACGCAGGTGAGTGAAGCATCCAGGAGACACGTGCCGTCTCTGTTCCTCGGGGAAATCCACTCGACGGTATGTCACCAGTTTAAAGCAGAAAGCCAGCAGGTGCCCCAGGGACTTCTGCAGGACCCGGGACCGTCTCACCTCGGCTGCTGATCACACACAAGGGCGATGTGTGCTTTCATTGGGAAACTTCCTCCTTTTGATTGTATTTCATTGACTGCGTATCGATGAAACCCTGACGCATGGTTAGAAATCAGGCCACAGCTGCATGTGTGGGCAGGTCAGCTACAGAAGCCACAGCCCTGTGTCCAGGTCTGTTGATGTCCTCGGCCCTTGGGGCCCAGGCTGCCAAGACCTTGGCCTGACCCTTGTTTGTGAAGCCTGCCGGGTGCCCTCCGTGACAGTCAGGTGGACTGAGATGTGGGGGCATGTCCTAGAACAGTGCCGCTGCACAGCGGGCACAGCGTTTAAGTCACACATACCCTGGCCGTTTGCTAATGCAGCAGGCAGGCCCTCGGCCAGATGCCGGACAGCACGATGCCAACGGTGGTCAGTGCCCCGGGGACGCGTGGCCGAGGTGGCGCTGGAGAAGCCTGCCTGAGGCTCACCGAGCAGGGTTCCGAGCTGAAGCTTCCAGAGTGGAGAGGCTCCAGGTGCGCTGGGGGCAGGGGCATCATCGTGAGAAAGCTGCGTGCTCAGCACCGCTAAGGGTGAAAGATATTAACACAGTGGGGGAACCAGGTCACCCTGTGGGGCGACGAGGGAGGGACACGTTGGAGGGTGACGGGGAAGGAGAATATCAGTTGTGACCTTGTATCTGGGAGGAGTGGCTGAGCCAGTGGGCCAGGGTTTCGAGTGCAAGTGCACTGGCTGCGTGAAGGTGTGCACACAGCTGGCGTCCTTGCTTTCTCTGTAAGACTGGCAGACCTTTGTCCAGAGAGCAGTCTGCAGTCTGCCCTTTACCTGTCTCCTGTCCACCACCCCTCACAGTGCTCCGTGTGTTCACGTGATACTGCAGTTCATGTGTAGAACCGAAATGGGAGCGTATTTCCTTACATGGCAAAGGTGGCGACCAGCTCACCTTAAAATAGGGAGCCTGTGGCTAAGGCTGGCTGTGAAGCTGGAGGGGGGTGGCAACCCCGGGATGCAGGGGCCCTGAGGAAGGAAAAGCCGGAAAGGGACTCCTGTGGTCTCGGGAGGAGCCAGCCCTGCAGACTGATTTTAGCCTCGTGGGACCCAGTTCAGAGATCCAGCTCCGGGAACCAAGATGACCCATCTGGTTCGTGGTGACTCATCAGGCAGGGAACCCGCTGCTGGCTGCACAGGTCGGGTTGGACAGCTCCGTGTCCTGCTGGATCACCCCTACGTCTTCCGGAACCCGTGTCCCTGCACCATCTCCGCACCGGAACACCCACAATGCATGCATTCGCGTGCAATAACAGTTGCCTGCTAGGATGCTCAGTCATTTCCCCAAAATGATTTTAATAAATGGCCAGGTCCGGCCGGTGGGGCTCCGTGGTTGAGTGTTGACCCTGCACCAGAGGGTCACTGGTTCGATTCCCGGTGGGGATACATGCCCAGGTTGTGGGCCCATCCCCAGTGGGGGACATGTAGGAAGCAGTCCATCGATTCTTTCTTCCTCTCCCTTCCTCTCTCAAATCAATAAAGGAAAAAATAATAATAAAAATAAACAGCCACGACAAAATTGGACGTGCACATTCTATTAGACATTTTGGAAGCAATACAAAATTCCAAGGAAGACTTTTTCCTCAGAATCAATGTCTGGTGTGTTGCAGCACAGGGCTTTCAAAGCTGCTTTTTCAGCAGCAGCTTATGGGGCTCTGCAAACTCCTTGGGGCGTTCCCCAGGTTCCCCAGTTGCCAGCTTCCACTCAGGCCTCACAGGAGTCTGGATGGACCGACACCGTGGACCTTCGGTGCCACGGCCTCTTCACGGGACGTCTCTGTTCTCAGCAAGAGTGGGCTGTGTGAGCCGTTTATTAAAACAATGTCGTCTTCAAGTTATTTGGGGGGCAAACTGTTCTATAAACCTGTTATTCATTTTCTCTGTGTGTGCAGAGGGTGGGAGCTGGAGCTAATTTTCCCGTGAATTTAGAAGCTCGTTTCATTTAGGCAGTTCTGTGGACGCATTAAATCTAGCCTGTCGCTGCGACGTGCACCTCGTGTATTTCAGTGTCAACATCATCAGTACACAGTAGGAGCAGGAACGCAGCCCTGTGTCTGAAGCTCACCTTCCACTTCATCGCCCTTCTCAGTCCCGAGTGCGTCTCCCCAGAGGGCCTCAGGCGCAGCGTCCAGGCCCGTTCCCTGTGGCCTGCAGCCCGGTGGGCACTGCTGACCACAGGGGGTCCTTGCCCCAAATGGTGAAACTTCAGGATGCTGAGCGATACAAGTTTCAAACACCCACCACCAGCTGATGTGAGTTTGCACGGGAAGTGACACTGGATCTCAAGCTGAGTGTTACGTCAACTGGACGGGGCTGCGGGGACACCCAGGCGGCTGGAAAAGGGGTATTTCTGGGTGTGGGTGTGTGGAGAGATTGGCATTTAATTCAGTAAACTGGGCTTTTTCTTCTCCGTTTGTTAGATCAGACAGGGAGAGAAATAAAAGTAAAAATTAAAAGGCTGGGTTCAGGCCTCAACATGCTACCAGTAACCCATCGCTTACGGGGCTCTCTGACGTTTTTTCCTTCCAGAAATACGCATAAATTTTATAGATTTTGGTTTTTTCTCACTGGTTGTCCACTGCGATTACTCCCAACAGGCGCGAGGCCCTGCTGGGGGTGAGATCACAGGGCCCAGGAGACGTGAGTGGGCCCAGGACGTACACAGGCCCGAGCGCTGGGGCCGGCTCCCCGCGGGCGTCTGCTTCGCCCTCAGCCTGTGGCTCCTGCGTCCCTCCCTCACCGGCTCACTCAGCTCCTCTCCTCACGGCCCGCTGGACTGTGGGCTGCGTTCAGCCTTCGTAAGAGAGCCCAGTGATCCAGTGTGTGTACGTTTCCCGCAGATGAGAACTCCCCGCCCTACTGCCCTCAGCATTCTGATTTCTCTCCCAGCATCGGTGGGGTTTTGCGTAAGTTTGTGGTGTTCGAAAGGCAAAAGCATTTCAGTGAGCTTAGGGACTTACTGTCTTCACACACACGGTTACTGTGTCGTCCCTAAAGGCATTCGGGTAAGGTGGGCGTCCTCCCAGAGAGGGCACTGTGCTGGGCCTGGCGCTCACCTGCCCCGGGGGCAGAGCAGACCGTCTCCTGAAGGCACAGACCCTGCTCCCGGGAGACCCGGGCCCGGCCAGGAGAGCTGGACACGGGAACTCCTCGAATTATTTCACTGGTTTATGTGACAGCTTTCTCCTGATAAGAAGAAGATAAATCCAGGGCTTGAAATCATTTATTTTTCCCTCTTATTATTCAGTGTGTTGAAAAGAAAACGCAGACTTGAAATTCTTAGGTTTTTGAGAAATGTTTTAGAAATAATTGTCTAATATTAGTGCTAATAAAAGAGGGAGAGGCAGGCAGAGGACATGCCGGTTGCTGTGCCCGTGGAGGGCATGACCCTGGGCTTCGGAAGGTCACATGGACCCTGAGGTCCACCCCTTCTGCCTGCGCCGCGCCA